AATGTTTGCATGTATGTATATATATAGTATAATTAATAACATTTGCTAGAGGGCCCTGATTTGCGATTATCAATTACATAATTGTTTAAAAAAGCATTTCCATAAAAACTAGTCACACCTCTAAGATGCACGAGTTGTCTTTTTCTCCACTCAAAAATATCGGTTAAGTTAACGGGTAGGTTTCTATTTATAGATATTTCTATATATAAATATGTATATAGATGTAAAAAATACAAACTGTGCATAAATTTGTTAAACTATCACAAAACATTTACTACAATTGAACACTTATTTGAGAGTGACAGAGAGAGTGAGGGAGAGAAAGAAAGAGAGAAAGAAGAGAGTTCTTGTAAAGCAGAGTGGGCAGAAATGTGTTGCACTTAACAATAAGTTGGTTACAAAATCTATATAAAAATATTTAAAAAAAAACGTAGATAAATTAATTGGTAGAAGACAGTGTGGTGAGTAGTTCTAAATAAAACTAGGCTGCACTTTAGGCGATGCAAGATCAGCTTGAAACGGCAAAGAAAAACTTTGATAACTCCAATGAATGGTTGATGAATGAACGATCTCTGCATTATAAAGCAATGGTAAAGTTTTTTCCCGAAAACTTCTTTAACTGAGTCTACTTCAATTAGAAACTCGAGATTAACCAGATAACATAGGCTCTTCAAACAGATTGATTAAATGGACCTATCTCTTTATGATGCGAACAACGTTCCAGTTTCCAGTAATACATAGCCAGATAGCCATTATAGAGATAGATCTCTGTTGATTCTCATGTTACGAAAATTCTAGAATTCATGGGTTTTAAGCTTTATACGAATAAGGGATTCCCTAACGCTTGTAAGAGAATCTCAAATATTGAGATGAGCCTCTGCGCATAACAAAATTGATGTTATAATCTTATTTTTTGGGATACTATGGTACAATTAAAGAACATCTTTAGACAATTCAATTCAACAATTAATTAATAAAATATGTTGAGCCTCTTCACATCTTATCATGACAATTAACTAAAATAGAATATAAATATTCTTGCCCAGAGAATGTCTAGAGATCTTTCCATTATGATGCAAATGATTATGATTTTGCTTGCCAGTTGCACGAATAGATAAAGGTTCTTGCATCCCCAAATGCAATTTATAGTTTTGTGTAAATTAAAATTAAAAAAAAAAAAGACAAATTGTTTTCAGATACACACAAGTGCTTAAATAAAGAGCTTGTAAATAATGATGTGCTTGATTGGTTGGTTGGTTGGTTGGTTGGTTGCTTAGTTGGAGTGGTGCAATAGTTGTATTTATGTTCTGGTATTTATGTATAGGTATTTATGTATGTATGTATATGTATGTATATTATATATTGCCTCCAAGTGGTAAATTATATTAATATTTAGGTATCAGCAGCTTTCAGCTTCTTTCTATTCGTATTGACATTTGTCTAGACTCATTTCGTTTGGGGGTTTGGGTTCACTTAAAAAATAAATAGTGTGTGTGTGTGTGCATGTGGTTCTTAAGTGTTAACTAAACAGATTGTTGCTGACTCAACTGCTTATGATCTGTTCACAAATATGGGCAAACACATTCAGAATTCTGATAGCCACCTGTCTCAAGTTTTGTGTGTGTGTGTGTGTACTCGTATGTGTATGGGTTTTGAGTGTGTGGGTGGTTGGTTGGTTGGTTGGTTGTGCATGTGTATCGGCTTTCTGTTTCTGTTTCATTTTACACTTTAATGTTTCTTTAAATTATGAGGTACTTTAAACTTTTTGGCACAGTGAAAGTTTTTACTTTGCTTCTACTACATGCTTTAAATGTTTAGCTTTGTTTTGTTATTTTTGTTTTCTTCATGTTCTCTCATACTCTGCTATGTTTTACATACAAGTAGGTTTTTAGTTGACTTTAAAATTATTACAAATTCAGTTGAATGTTATTTATATTCTTAACGCACTCTTTTTCATTTTTGTTTTTACTTGTTAATTGGTACGGCAAATTTGTTTTCTGTACTCGTATTTTAAATTTATTTTAGCTTGCTCCTAGTTTAAGACATTTACTTGTAGTTTAGAAAAAAAATGTTGCAAACATTATTATGCATAGGTTGTATGTATATATGTATGTATTTGTATATTATTATTTAGCTTTTGTCAATTTTTTCTCTTTTTACACATTAATTTAATTTTGTTGTTGTTGCTGTTTTTTGTTTTTGTTTTTTTGAAACTACATTTACAGTTTAATTCGATGTTCTTGGTTCAAAGTTTGTTAGTTAATGGTTTGCTTTTGATTCGCTTGTTTTGTTGTATTGTTGTCTATTTGTTTTGTTTTGTTTTCTTTTCTTGTTTCTATTAGTATTTTTACAATTACTTTCTGTTAAGTTTTGTGAGTATGTCTGTGGGGTTCTGTTTGTGTTTGTATTTGTATTTGTGTTTGTTTTGTGTGTGGAGTGGTTTTCTTGGTGGTAACCTTTTGCTTTGAGACTTTTGACTAATGAGAAATCGCAGAGCATGCTTTGTGGTGTAATAAATAATAAGCACACACTTAAGTAGCATTGTAAACGTTAAAAACTGCTTGCTGCCTTAAAAACTATTGTTTAATTGCACAATGTTGTCTCTGTTGAACTTAAAAACTGTAGGTATTGGCATTGACAATGGCCAGCGAGTCTGTGTCGGAAAGCTCACTGCTACGAGCACTTGTGTACGCATTCCTTTGGTGTCGGCTGCCAGTGTTGCCAGCCCACGTCCATTTTGACAAGCCGCCATTGCCCTTTTTCATACTTATGTAGGTATGTACATATGCATATGTATGTATGTACATTTCGCGTACATTGAATATACTTGTACATTTCTTCTTTGCCTATTGTTATTGTTAATTAGCTTTGCTATTGTTTTTATTCGCTATATGAACTATTATTTCTGTTTAAAATGTATAGTGTGTTTAGCGTTATGTTTGTTTTGTTGCAATCACAGTTAGTTTGTGTTGTTGTTGTTGTTGTTTGTCATTTTGTAAAAACAAATTCTTAATTAGTTGCTATTGTTTAGTTACTCTTGCTATTTCCTATTTTGCCTTTGTATGTTGTATATGTATATATGTATGTATGTATGTATGTATGTAGTAAGTAGGTTTTGTTTTGTTTCGTTATACGTTTTGTAAAAAATTAAACTATTGACGGTGGTTGCACATACATAAGTAAACATTATGTATTTGTTTATCGTTTCATTTTGTTTATGTAACTGTACTACTCCCTGCTGGCTCATGCTTCCTTCTTGTTCTTAATTGTTTTTGTTGTTTATGCTGTTGCTTGTATATTTAAAACTATGCATTTGTAACGCTTCGAAATAAATAAGTATTTGTAATAGAATCTGTTCTGTGTTTTGTTTTTTGCTTCTCATCTTTTTTTGTTTTTTGTTTGTAGCTTTCAGCTAGCACATCATACATATATGGTTATAAACATTTAAACATATTTGTAGAGTTCAACATGGTAACGCCCTCTCTTGCCTCTATGTAGATAATAGTTTTAATTTTCAAATCAAAATTAAGTTGCATTATTGTTTTGTTGTTGCTCTGCTTATTGTTTTTAGTAACAATTTCTTATTGCATGAGTTGCTATTTGGCCTCGGCATGGTAAAATAAAACGCAAATATAGTTTGTGGCGTTGCCAACTCAAATTAACTACACCGTTTGGTACAGTCTGAGTTGTGGCAATGGCGCTGCCAGTTCCCATCAATTGCGTGTCACTGCCATGTCTCGGCTTAGTCGTTCTCTATTTATGTATAATGTTGTATAACTATTTTAAGCTATTTTACTTTGTCGTTTTGTACAATATATATTTCGCTATTTCATCTTTTTGTCTATTTGTCACCAGGTTGTAAAGTTCTTGTATTTACTAAATAAGTGTAAAATTATATTTGTATACCAATTACACATAGTGCTTGGTATGTATGGTATAACCGGCAGATTATTGTTGTACATTGTATATAGTATATACTTGTAGTTTTGTTTCAATAGAAAAACATTTCAAAACAGACTATTTTATATTGCATTTGTTGTTTGTTTGTTTGCTGTCGCTGCTGTATACATGTTAATAAAATTAAAAAAAATGTAATTTCTTCTGTGTATAAGAAAAATAGTTTGCCTAAACAAATTTCAATCTTGAGCAGCAGTAACTGCAGTAACCCCAACACCTGCACTACGAATGCTCAAGCCTAACAAAAAACTCCTAGTAAAGTATACATATATTTAAACATTACGAGAGAGAATGAAAAAAAGAGCACTTAACTACAACTAATTAATAGCAAAATTCCATGCTATAGATGACAAAAAAAAAACATGTCCTACTAATTAAATATTACAATTATATTCAAAACCTTAAACACTTTAATACCCGTGCTAATAGTTGCCAATGTCGTTTCTTTAACTAAAGCCATGCGCCCAATTTGTTTTTTTTTTTTTAATTTAAAGGAGCTAAAACACAACGCTGGACTGGCTGACTGTACCTGGGCAGGCCTGTCAACTTGTTTGCAGCTCTAGCTCTAAATATACATAGATTACTCTTCTTCTTCTTACTTTTCTTAAGCTTCCTTTTTGTTTTCTTTTAAAATGTTCGAACTTAGTTCTTGCCCTCTGCTTGCTGTGCTGCATGAGAAAACCGTTTGTTTTGTGACCAAATTCGATTTTTGTTTTGTTTGTTTGTTTGTTTGTTTTGTTTTACTTTTGTGACTACATCAAAAAGTACAGTTGCGTTGCACAAAAATTAGTTGTCTCTAATAATAATAGTAGTAAGAGTGTTGTGGTGGTAATAATAATATAAGATTTATACATAAATTTCCTGTAATTTATGCCTCTTGCGTCTTTCCATTTTTAATATTCATTTTGCATGTTCTCTGTATGTGTGTGTGTGTGTGTGTGTGTATGTGTTGTATGTGTGTGTGCGTTTGTTTTTGAAGTGTGTAGAGTGTCTGTGTGTGTCGCTTTCTATCTGCGTAGGAGCCGCCTCCTACGCGCCTCATCTCAGCGTGGCGCATTGTGAATGTGGGTGGTCAAATGCTTGGAGAGGTAGTCGGCGCGTGCGAAGCATTTGCCGCACGACTCGCAGTGGTAGGGCCGCTCACCCGTATGGATGCGGAGGTGGCGGGTGAGATCGGACTTGCCGCCAAAGGCGCGTCCGCAGAACAGGCAGACAAACGGACGTTCGCCGGTGTGCTTGCGGACGTGCAGCTTCAGATTCTCCTTGGAGCGCACACACTTGCCACAGAAGGGGCAGGCGAAGCGTGAGGTGGCCGGCCTAAAAATATTAACAATTTCAGAATATTATAAAATACAGTGTGCATTTATTTCTAACTAACTAACTAACTTGAATACTCAATGAATTTTTATCAAAACAAATTAAATACAATTCTATTTGTTTTAATAATCTGTGGAAATCGAAGAATTATGGAATTATTATCGACAGTTGAACAAACCACATCGGATTTTAATTAAGAAGAAGAGGGGTTATTACCAATTTCTTAAAAACGAATTTTGAAACTTCAGTTTACAATTTAGAGAATGTTTTTTCCATTCTACAAACGGTCATTATTGGATGCATAGTATTGATTTGGAGCACTCTCTAATAAATGTTGTACAAAATTTACCGGTACGGGCAGACAAGCAAATAATTTGCACGCAAATTCGTCGAACAGTACAAGTAGTATGCCACGAAACGTAATGTCACTTGAATCGACTCTGCCAGGCATTATATACTAAACTAAAGTCTTTTCAAAGCCTACTTGTAGAGTAACACAAATATGAATATATGTATGCAAATTATTTGCCTATGTGACCGCAGCTATAGGAATCTTGTATGCTTTAGGGAATGACAATACTATTTGTTTTGCAATATTCAGTTCAAAAATGAAATAATCTAAGCAATAATGGAGGTTCTAAGAAATGTTTAAAACTAAATTGTGGTTGTTTGTCCTCTGTATTCTCATTTGACATTCAATGAAGAATCATTCTTCGATGAGAAATCAGAAGTGGCTACTGGAATCGTTTTTCGAATGTTGAAATATAGAAACGTAAGAATTGGAAAGGTTTACAATATTTTGATTGAATACGAAAGCAGGATTAAAATGCTAGCTTTTTGACAGACAGTTGAGTACCGCTTGGGAATTCAATAGCAACTGGGTCGAAATTTAGGAAGATATAGTTTTAAAGTCGGCTTTCCTTGCTATGCCGACATTCCCCTTTTATTTGGGGGATACTTACCGCTTATCGCGCTGTCGCTCAGCCGCATCCACGCGCAGAAAGTTAAGTATGGATGCCTCCTGGGGATTTAGGCCCAGAAACTGTTCATTCGGTATGCGCTCCGCATTGATCAGCGATGTGAGTGAGCTGAGCGAGCTGATGCCGCCGCTGCCGGTGCCGCTGCTTCCTGCGCTGCTGGTCTGCGCATTGCTGCCGGCGGCAGCGGCCGAAAGCCCGGAGGCGGCGGCAGCAGCGCCCACCGCAGCCGATATTGGCAGTGTGACGTGTGCAAGATGCGCGGGCAGCTGCTGCTGATGGGCATGGTGATGGTGATGATGCTGATGTGGTGCTTGCTGTTGTTGGTGATGGTGGTGGTGATGATAGGAGGGATCCGTTTCCAAGTGGTGTGCGGTGTTCAGTAGGCGTGACTGCAATAAAGTTACACTTCAGTATTGAAATGACTAACTAGGCGCACAGGTGCAGACTGGCATCTAAATACTCGTAATATGCTATGTGGAGAAATGCGAAACAAGCGTTGCAGAAGAGCTGCCGCTTTCTAATGGCAACAAGCACAAATGACGCAGAAGTGTAGTATCCCCTATTTGCCCTGGTTATCCCAGTGTAGACATTTAACGTAGACGACTAAGCATCTGACGTGTAAACATCTGACGTGCTTTTATTTAAAGTGTGGACATCTGACGTGCTTTTATTTAAAGTGTGGACATCTGACGTGTAGTCATCTATGTTGTAGATAAGTGTATCGACATCTGAAGCGTAGTCATCTGATGCATAGACGACTGACTTGTGAGCACCTGAGGTGTTAGCATGTGAAGGAAATACATTCTAACGACAGTTATCTGAACAAGCACAAATGAGACAGAAGTATTGCATCCCCTATTTGCCCTAAGTCTGGTTGAGTAATTAAAGTTCATTTTTTAGATATAACTGGTTGTCCCAGGCGACTAAGCATCTGACGGGTAAACATCGGACGTGCTTTTATTTGAAGTGTCGACGTCTGACGTTTGGTCATCTATGGCATAGATATGTGTATCGACATCTGAAGTTAGGCATCTGATGTGAGCATCTGACGTGTTAGCATGTGAAGGAAATACATTCTAACGGCAGTTATCTGAAGTGCAGACATATGTAGACATCTACAAAGCCTTTTTCGACGCTCTATACGAAACTACTTGAAAGGCCTTTCGATCTAAGAACAAACACTTATGGCTTAACACAATGTGCTCTAATGTCTAAAGCATCTGACGTGTAAGCATCTGACGTGCTTTTATTTAAAGTGTGGACATCTGACGTGCTTTTATTTAAAGTGTGGACATCTGACCTGTAGTCATCTATGGTGTAGATAAGTATATCGGCATCTGAAGCGTAGTCATCTGATGCATAGACGACTGACTTGTGAGCATCTGAGGTGTTAGCATGTGAAGGAAATACATTCTAACGACAGTTATCTGAACAAGCACAAATGAGACAGAAGTATTGCATCCCCTATTTGCCATAAGTCTGGTTGAGTAATGAAAGTTCATTTTTTAGATATAACTGGTTGTCCCAGGCGACTAAGCATCTGACGGGTAAACATCTGACGTGCTTTTATTTGAAGTGTCGACGTCTGACGTTTGGTCATCTATGGCATAGATATGTGTATCGACATCTGAAGTTAGGCATCTGATGTGAGCATCTGACGTGTTAGCATGTGAAGGAAATACATTCTAACGGCAGTTATCTGAAGTGCAGACATATGTAGACATCTACAAAGCCTTTTTCGACGCTCTATACGAAACTACTTGAAAGGCCTTTCGATCTAAGAACAAACACTTATGGCTTAACACAATGTGCTCTAATGTTTCGAGAATGACGAGAGTGGGGGTCTGTAATATCAAGCTATCTAATAATACTAATGGGTATGATACCAGAGATCCGTACTACATTTTCTTCAGAATTTCTATGTTATACTTAACAACAACCTCTTTTCGCAGATCATCTAATCATCATTATCCTTTAGTGCAGCTTCAGTTTACACACTCACCCGCTTATTTGTACTATGTATGACATCCGAGCTGCTTATGTTCGGCTCCGTGGCGCTCGTGGAGGCCGAGGCCGATGAGTTGTTATCGTTGTAGAGCATTGTAATGCCGGCCGAATCGATTGTGCTGTCTTGTTCGTGTTCCTCGCCGGCACCTGCACCTCCACCAGTTCCCGTGCCAATGGCGCTGCCTGCGCCACCGCTTGTTGAGGTGCTGCCCTCTTCGCCGCTGCCGCCTTCACGCTTTACGTTGATGCGCAAATCTTCGCCCTCGTCGGCCAGCATCGGCTCCTGGGAGCTGGTCACAACGTCCTGTTCCAGCTGTGCGGTGCTGAGGCGACTGGCACCTACGCCGACGCCGACGCCCACACCCACACCCACACTCTTCTTGCCGTGCAGACGCTCCAGGGCGTGATTTAGACGATGCTTCTTAAAGCTCTTCAAGTAGCGGAATTGCATGCCGCAGACATCGCAGGTGAAGAGCTTGTCAGCTGGAAGTCGTGCCCGATGGTTCTGCTCCTTGTGCTTGGCATAGGCCGAGCGATAGCGATAGGACTGACCGCACTGCTCGCATATGAAGGGCTTCTCTTCGCCGGGCCCGATATGCGGATGCTGCAAGGCCGCGTGCTGCTCCAGCAACCACACATTGGGGAAGTGAGCATTGCAGACCACGCATCGGGTCTCCTCCTCGATGGGCTCGCTGAAGAGCGAAGATGTGTCCGAGGGACTCTTCAGCATTTGACTCAGCTGTTGATGTTGCGCCAACAGCGCCGTAGTCGGCGGCGGCGTCGATGAGGTAGACGATGAGGAGCTCTTCTCCTTGAAGCTCGACGAAGTGTCGGTGCAGCTGATGGGTGTATTGTTGGCGCTGGACAGGAGTAGCTGCGTATACTGACGCAGTCCGGTGGCATCGACAATGACGCTGCTGCTGGGCGTGCTGCTGTTGGTGCGACGTCGTTGCTGCTGCTGCTGTTGGGCGAGCAACTGCTCCAAGGACTCCTTGTAGAGTAGGGCGCTGCTATTGGGGGTCACCACCCGGTCGCTGGGTAGCTCCACAATGGTAACATCGTCGCTGCTGCTGTCCATGGGAGCTGTGGGTGGACGCTTGCTGTTTGTCTCCGACTCCGAGGGTTCGGCGTTGCCCGAAAGTGGGGCGGTCGAGGTGCTGGTCGCCATTTGAAGAGGCGATGGTGTGCTGGACTTGCTTACCTTGGTTTGTTGGTGCTGTTGCTGCTGCTGCTGTTGTTGTTGTTGTTGCTGTTGTTGGTGATAGAAAGCCGATGTGGGTGTGGGATAGCGCATGTTAAAGGCATGAGGCTGCTGCGGTTGTTGTTTGTACTGCTGTTGCTGTGCGTTGCTGGAACGCTGAGTGGGCTTGCCGCTGGCCGAGAGCTCAGCATAGGCATTGGTTGCATTGGCGCCGGCAGCGGTGCTGGCGCTATGCGGACTCGTATTGCTGTGCTGATAATCCTTGGTCAGCAGATCGCTTAGGGTGGTAAAACGGTGGGTGAAGTCCTTCGGTGCCGTTAACAGGCCGCGTGTCCTGCAACATCGAAAGCCATTTTCTTATTTTTGTTGTTAAATAAAGCGTCGTCTGCTTTACACAGAATTTAAGACCCAACTAGGGCTTAACAATGTAGAAACTTTGGCCAAAAATATTGGCTACTCAATCATAAATCTGTCTGGGTCTTTATTGAAAGAGCGACATAATAAACATTTCTATATTCATGCCATTTGACAGGAATTATTGATTCGAAAGATCAATTACTTTCGAATTCCTAATACTGAGTAGAGAGAGAGTTCTATTTTTTAGGTTGATAAGTACTTGAGTGAGTCATGAGATGAAGAGTAGAATATCCTTAAGTCTTACCTTACTTAGGCAACTAATGGCAGATACAGTTTTGACATGAACTGGAGATTGGACAGATAACTAGTTCGAATCGATTTGTTAAAATGACAAGAACTTGAGTTCTCATGAGCACTAAGTGTAGGAAATTGAAACGATTTAACTGAAGTATAGACTCAACAGAGTCTCATTAATAGTTATTAATAGTTTTTTTTCTACTTCTAAGCAATACTATATACTTACCGCAATGCCTCCTCGGCCAACCAGGTCTGGTGGTGTAGTATGCTCAGGATTCTGGACGGATCGATGTCGAACAAGCTAAGACCCAGCGGTGTGAAGGGAAATGCGAACGGTGTCGGGCATCGACTGGCCATGGCGCTCAATGGTGAGCTAAAATTTCGCAGCAGCTGTAAAAGTGCAGTACACGTGGGGGGCGTTCAGCATTAGTATGGGAGTGGCAAGTTGGTATATTTTGTGTGTTTGAGTGTGTGTGTGTGTGTGTGTGTGTGCATCAATGCTATAGCATTTGAATGGTGGCAGTTGAAGGGGGAAGCGGGGATACTGCTGCTAGTTTCTAGACAGGCTAGGTAGTTAGGTTGGTACAAAAAAAAAATAATATTAAATCCTGAGGCTCTTTATAAAGACACATGCACAATGCTTTACAACAAGAACTAAGCGATGGAACAGACATAAAAAAAAAAAGAAGAACAACTACAGTACAAGCTTATTAGAAGCAATATATACACATATAGTATATAGAGTGAGAAAGAGATAGTGTGTAGAAGGGAAATGTTCTCTTTAGGTATACTTACGACTCTGTTTTGACTTAAATCTTAAGCTGAAAAACCAAGAACGTTTACACTTACACGATTACAACGATGAGAAAATGTGTTGAAGAAAAAAAAACAACAAATATTGATAGTAGATCATTTATTTATTGTTTATCATTTCAAGAAATAATCAGGAAACAAACGGTCGGTCCTGCATGGTGCGGCTTCCTTCTTCGATAGCCGCTTTGGGATAAATTAAAATTAAATATTGTTCGACTAACTACATTTTAAAATTGAATTAAAAATTGGTAAGAAACGAATTATATTATAATACACGTACGCCTCTACTTATATAAAAAAAAGTCTCATAAAAGAGGGCTTCACACATTTCGAAGTGGTGAAGAGGGCGAAAAAATACGGGAAACATTAAAAAAAATGCGAATTTTGACAATGTCATTCATAAATTTTTGTATTTTCCAACCACATTCTCCTGCACATTCACTCTATTTTCAAAATATATTTTTGAAATGTTGGTTAATTTTTTTTTTTTTTGAGTGCTTTACACAATTCCCATTCCCAGTGGCAGCGCATTTGACTTGCGATCTGCTTTTATCATTTCCCAACACTCTCAACTAGAGTTGGGAAAAATGTTATAAATGAGTTCAATACTAATGAGCTTTTTATCGTATGCAGTTGAATTTGTTTCGCTCATTAAAGCGAAAATCTAGTGAACAAATTTATTTAGTTCACTATTTCATCCATATAATCTAATATGGCCCGTTCTACTTGTATATGTAGCGACTGTTTTTTACTCTTTTTCATTCTACATATTTCTGCAACTTGTCTATGTTGTTTAATTAAAAGTATTTCTATATTCTAGCAGTTGAAGTTGCCGTTATGATAAAAAGATCCACCAACACTCATCATTTTTAACACATGAAGGCACAAGATTGTGCCCAAGCATTAGGGAACTCTACTTCAACTTGGGAAGTACCAAGTGTTGTGTTTAATTTGCATTGTAAAGCATTTTCCAACACTCGATCTTAACGTAATAATTCGAAAGCAGATTCTGGCTATTGGAAATAGCAAATAGAATCGAGAATCGGGCTGGCCTCAATGAATCAAAACGCATGCACATTATTTTCAATATTTTTATTTATATAGAATTTACTTTTCTTCTTCTTTTTTCCTTGTTTTTGTTTTTTCTTTGTTCATTCACGTTTGTATTGTTTTTGTTGTGTTTCGTTTTGTTTTGTTTATCATCTCTCTGTCTTATATATGATTCCTTTGCTTGTGTTTTCATTTCTTGCTTGCTTTTTTTTTTTAAACTGCCACACTCTTCTACATAAGTATGTATATTGCGGTGTCGTTTTATGCAATATTGCATAACTATTATGTTAGTTGTTGTTGTTGTTGTTTTAATTGTTTGTTGTTGTTCTCATAATTCAGCTTGATTTGTTTCTCTTCTGCTGTCTTGCTTGCCTCTCTCTTTCTCTCCCTCAATGTAACATTGTTGCTCTATATATGTCGGTATATATAGTAGTTATCTATGTATGTATCAAGTGGTGTGTGTGTGTGCCTACGTGTGTGTGTGTTAGTGGTAGTGTGTGTGTGTGTGTGTGTGTATCTGTATATGTGTGCATAATTTCTAGAGCATACCTTGCTTTGTCAAACAGTTGTGAGCCATCAATCAAATAATTATTGTGTTAGCATACAATTTGCACTGCCTGTTGCCTGTGTGCCTCATTGTCTGTCTGCCATTTTCTAGTAATCATTTGCTTTTCTTTCGTTCTCTTTATTGGGGTTTTTTTCATAATCGGTTCGATCGCACTTTATAAACTATGATATGCCTTGCTTTGCTTAAATATTTTTGTTTTTCCTTTTTTGGTTTACTTTCTTTTTATAATTTATTTATATAAATTTTGTATTTGTTTTGCTTTGCCTAAAATATGTTTAAATTGCTGTCTGCCTGCCGGTTCTGTATTGGTGTGTGTGTGTGTGTGTGAGTATGTGTGTGTGTGTGTGCTGCTGCTGCTGCTGTGCTGTGATTGGGGGTGTATAGTTCATCTGACTTCTCAAATACATACTATATTCTGTTTTTTTTTGTTTTTTTTTTTTTGTCTGAATAGCTTAGCTGTTCTCGATAGACGCACTGCTTCTCATTACAAACATATGTAGTTAGTATACGTATTCATTTGTGTTTGTTTCGATAGAAAAAAAGGACAACAAACTAAATATTTCTCACACATACACATACATATATGTATGTATGTGAGAGTATTCAGTATTCAGCATGACAACTCGAAAAGGAGTTGACTTTTCTTCCATAGGTTTGCTCAGTGCTTGTTTTGTTTTGTTTTGTTTGGTTTAGTTTTCATTAATTTCTCTCTTCATTTTTTGTTTTGTTTTCTTTTGTTTAGTTGGTTTTTGACTCGCGGCTTGACACAAAAGAAATCGAATACAATTTTTAACCTTCCGCCCTTGTATGTGTGTGTGTGTGTGTGTGTGTGTGTGTGTGTGTGTGTGTGTGTGTGTTTGTTTATTATTTATTGCATTTTCAAATCAAGCTTAAGCTCTTCAACTCGCAGCATACATGCATACATACATACCTACAACGATTCTATGTACATATGTATGTGTGTATGTCCGCCTAATGATGGGTGGACAGAGCAGAGTACAGTGGGTTGCACTGTTGCCCGATGGATGAGTCAGCTGATATGCACAGTAGGTATGTATAGTATATGTACGTGTATGTATGTATGTATGTACATTGTAGACAGATACAGATACAATTATAGCGGAAGGGGGTGCTGAGTTTCCCTCTTGTTGCTGTTGTTGTTAATAGATCAGTTGCCAGATAACAGACACTGCTGGAATCGTTCGGAAATGTGAAGCACACAACCCACTGTATTGCATATATATGTATGTATGTATGTATGTATGTGTCTCTCACTTCTCTCTGTCTGTGTATGTGCGTGGGTGTAAAAAATGATAGAAACATGCGTGTGTGAAATTATTGTTTTTTTAATCAATTTATTTGCGAAAAAAATGAATTCAATATTTATATATGTATATGTATATGTATATGTTTATGAACTCTTACTTATATAAATGAAACTAAAAATTATCGAATGGAACTTAAATTGCAGTTTTACAGCAATAAGTGTTTTACATACATATGTGCATATATGTACATATACATATATAGATCATTCTATTTATATATATGTATGTATATACATACATATGTATGTATCTGTGTATATGTATGTATATAAAAATGTAAAATTATTTTAAGCACTTTAGATTACGTTTTTATTTATACTTGCGTTCAGCGTTCAGTAAAAATATTCATGTTCTTCTTTTTGTTGTTGTTGTTGTTGTTGTTTTAAAAAATGTGAAAGCAAAGGCAACTTAAGTACAATACATACAACGTAAGCATTAGACATAATTATGAGTTAATTAACTAATTATTTTCATTGAAATAAATCAAGAAATAATATAAAAGCAAAAAAACAATGCGCGTCGGGTTTCCATTGCCTCCCAACTCTATTCATCCTTTTCTTTTTCTTTGTTTATAAATTTAGTTGAGTTGCTTTTAGTGTGTCTGTGTCAGTGTCAGTGTGTGTGTGTGTGTGTGTGTGTGTGTGTGTGTGTGTACTCGCACTTAATTAGTAATTATCATTATTTATTGTATTTAAATTACGCGCTCTCCTCGTTTTGCCCTTTCTTCTTCTGCTTATTTGTTATTGTTTTGTTTTATAGTTAGTTTTTAAGTATAATTTATAAGTATGTATGTATGTCTATATTGTAGGAACATATTGACGTAATTATAACGTATTGCAGCTATTTTGTTGTTGTTGTTGTTGAAGTTGTTGTTGCTTCACCACCTCATCTATTAGCCATGCACAAAGGTAGGTAGCTAGATGTATGCCTAAATATCTGTTGTTGTTGTTTTTGTCAAGAATTGCTATTGAAAACCGCTTTGGGAGTTAAAAGAAAAGGGTGTGTGATCGTGATCCAAAATGGAGTTTTCTTGCTGGAATTCTAGTTAGTTTTCATCAAAACTCCACTTAAAGTCACTAGATTCGATCACTGATCGACCTTGCATTATTTTCTCGTACCCGATCTATTGTGAATTGTGATCAATGATCAGTGGTGGAGAATCACAGCATTTAATTGCGTAATCATACACGTATAGAAGTGATCAAAATATTTTACCGAGCTCTTGGCATTAACAAGAAGTGAAGGATGATGAGTTTTATATATTCTGCGATCCATGATCAGTTGAATACATAAGAAACAAGAAGGGATCTATTAAATACACAAGCAAGATCATTGCTTAGTGATCCATCATATTTTTTTCTACTCACTTCTATTTAACACTATAATCACTGATCAGTGTTTTTTTTTTACTGATCTCTTGTCACTGATCTCTGCTTGAAGGGCAGCGGAAAATTGTGTTCCAACTATTTATAATATCTGCGATCGATGATCACTGAATTTTGAGCATCACGAGATCACAGTATTTTTATTGTTTCGACCTCATTCATGATAATGATTAAACAGATTGGAAAAGTGTGGAATCAAAGCGATTACTGATC